GAAAGCAAGCACCTTGGAACTCCTTCAGTGGTGCCCTTGCATGGGCTATAGAAGCTCATCAAGTGACCATTTCTCTAAGAAATGCTTCAGTTTGGACAATGTTCGACTTATCGTTTCATGGTTTTTTAAATAGTGACCACTTCTTTTCCCCTTCATAACAAGCTGAATTTGCATACAGGAAATTTATTTCCATGGCTTTGATATAAGCCATCAACCTCCTAACCGTCTCATCCTTAAGTTTGGTTGACTTTAGACACGAAAATATAAATAAGATATTAACTTATAGATTAAGTGCTAATGGTTTCTCTCATTTTGCAAAGAAATTTGAGTATAAATGAATTCCATTCATGTCATGTTTTCTAAGTATTGTGAATAGTTGAGTTTCTATTAATTATTGAATTTACAATGAACCAGGAATCATTTAACACATTAGGATGAGTTAAATGATTTACATATCTAACAGCTAAACTTTAATTTTTATATATATGCCACTTTACCTTTTGCATGAAAAGGTTTATTTCACTGTATAAAGAAAAAAACAGAGATAACTTTAATGTGATATGAAAGATTTGGGTGGTATAAATGTAAAAAAACAAATTTTAAATGTTACATATGTATACATATGCAATGCAAATGCTCCAAAAAGGTATTGTACCCCGTTTTTCCATATTACAATATCAAACCTAATCATTATCTATAAATCTATATAGCAAATGTAATCTTTTGGAGGACCTGACTAATCAATTAAACACCTTCTAAATGGAAGGCTAGGGAGAATGAACACTGCAGTAGGATGCAAAAATCAAGAACAAACTAAGAATAATCCTATCAAAACCCAACAATAAAGCAAATAACTCGACCTGAAGATATAAAAATTGTTACAAAATTTATGAATTAAACCATTTCTGCATCAAAAGAAGCAGCTTTAAGTACAACAGAAGCTATAGTGCCAAACAAAACTTTTCCTTCGGAGTTTTTAAAATTCAAGAGGGAAGAAATCAACTTTCAAAACACTAATCTTACAATGTGAGGTCAGCTACTGCTCCTGAGTGCCGAAGGCATATTCCCCCAGCAGAATCGCCTACAAACGTTTATTTCTTCTTCTTTGACTTGCTGGAGAGCGAATGAGCATAAGCAGTTCCCTGAAAATAGAGGGTATCATATCAAAAAATTTACTTCGGGTATGTCCCGAAAATGAATTCTCAAAGCAAGTAAGTTCGCTACTCGGAAGATTTGCTTGCATACCTCACAATTCTTATGTATTTACATATCTAACACATAAACTTCAATTCCTACATACATGCCACCGTACCAACCCATGCAAATGTGCATTTCACCTTTTATAGTTAAAATAGTGGTATTTTAAATGTAAAAGGTAAATTTTAGATGTTAGATATGTAAATACATAAGAATTGAGTGGTATGTATATAACTGCCCTTCTTTTAGTTGGCCGGTAGATTTGGTATAAAGGTAATTAGCTTATAAAGTACCTGTAACCACTCATTCATGTCATCCTTGGTTGTAGCAGTGCCAACTTCTACCTTTGGTGCCTTCTTCGATTTCTAAGGAGAATGAGAATAGACAATTGTGTCAGTTTAGGATAACTAAATTAATTATATGCCAGAAAGATATATTGTAGAAGTAAATTTTGCTTTAAAATAACTAATGCAAAAAAATAAATATCAAAGAAAAACTTCCATGTGAATTTATTGATGCTTGTGAAGGAACAAATTTAGCAAAAGCATTAATACCGATAGGTGTATGTATAACACTAGAATGTTGACATAATTAAACATGTGTATGTTGTAATGGTCAATATTATAAAAAGTTGTACGGAAATCCGAGAGTTTTCAATTACAATAGGTTTAAATCAATGATCAAAATTGAATATGAAGCTTGCAAAGGATATGATCCAGCTCAATTTATAGGCAGGAAAACTTGCTTCTAATTATTTCTCGTATTTGTTGAATCATTGGTCATTGATTTGAACAATGTTCGACTTATCGTATCATGGTTTTTTACCACAAAACAATCATCCAAACAGTCTCCAATTTCAAAATATTTATTCTACAAAATGTAATTGAACATGCAGAGAAGCGAGCGCCTTGTACTGCAATTAGGCGAGGCACCAAATGAGCAACTTATATTACTCTTAGAAATGCTTTTAAGAAAGCAAGCACCTTGGAACTCCTTCAGTGGTGCCTTTGCATGGGCTATAGAAGCTCATCAAGTGCACACATAAATCTTCATAAATCTTTATTTAGCACCTCTACAAACCTTAGCAATTCAACAAAATCTCTCTTTTTTCCCTTTGGCATTTGATGTGCAACTTCTACTAAAAGCTATATTGCTTAAATTGATTTTCTTCAACATTGTACAATTATCAATTTTTCTTGAGTTATGGTAGCCACTGATTCTCTTAATATGCTAGGCATCTTGTCAAAGTTGCCCTTATTGATCTGCAACTCCTTCCAAATCTTATTTCCTTTTTTTTCGCTCTATCATTAGCAGCATGATTAATAACTCATATTTTGATTAATGTGGTTAAATTAGGAAGAATAGATTAATAATGATTATATAAGAAAGGTGAACAATGGGCTGATAGAATTATGTGGTAGAATTACTTAAAAAAAGAGGACAAGTTGGAGTTATACAAAAAATTTGCAAGTTACAATTAAGGCACATAGAACTATAGCACAAATGGATGGAGAAGAATGATTCATAAAGAAAATGCTATATATTTAAATATAAGACCTATGTTGATGATGCATGAGGAGTGATATTTCCTTAAACTTCCATATTAAGAGGGTAGATGTTCAATCACCTTATAAAAAAAATGTTTGTAAATATAAAACAACAAAGATGCACCGATACATTGAATAGATGGAATTAGGTCGTAGGATTAGAAAATAAAAGATTAACTTGGGGAGTTATGTGAAAGGACTTCACAAATTAGAGCTAAGACCTCACTAGGACTCAACATGAATGTATGTAAAAGAAAATTTCAGAAATCAACCCAAAATGGTCAAAACATTTAGTTAGTATGATACAGATGTTTAAGGCCATAATGATTAGATTGTGATCAAGATTCAAGAAGTAATTTCTTTTCCTATTTACCAGTCTTTTTCATACTCATGACTGCAACAACTGTATGTCTTTTTAGAATATATTTTTCAAGCAAGGGTCATGAGATTACTTATTTTCTAGTAACCATTTGAATACAAATATTCTTAAAGAATGTACAATATATTTTATAAATAACCCTTATTTATTTATTTCACACTACTGTTATTTCATTTATTTTAATATGTTATATATTGAAGTTAAATTGTTAAAAATCTCATTAAAAAAGTATTCAAATATTTTTTTAACTGATGCCTAAGAAAAAGGACAAGCTCCCACCCTCTCGCTTAGCTCAACCAATTGTTAGCAGTCACACCAAAAAACGCCTTTCTCCATGATAACTATGAATAAAATCCTTTAAAATTAAAATCCATGTTTTCAACTTCGTTCAACTCACAAATGTAGACTGCAAAGTGAAGCCAACACACCATTAAATAAAAGGTAATACTTTAGTATGAACGTAATTTTTTTAAAGGGAGAAAGTAAGAATAGATTAGTTACCTACTTTAAAGAAGAGAATAATCTAAGAAGATTGAGAGTTGTATGCATAAACCAAAGTTGAAATATTTAAGATAAGAAAAAATGTACCTAAAGGACATAAGACATACAATGTTTATTTTCTCTTGAGAAATATTTACCCATGAAAATCATAATTTAAGATTCCACCTTACTTTCTCATCAGAAAACTAAAGCTTAAAGGTTATTAATCAAAGTCCTCAAGTTCAATGTGCCAAGAAACATGTTCGTATTGTCTAAATTTCAAACATTTAATTTGCTCTTAGTTCCAATTCTACAAATCCCATAGAAACACCCGTGAAATGCTGACAAATATGAAACTAATTATATGCACATAGGCAACGCTCGACCAGAATTTCAATAAAAATGATCAAAGCAATAAATGTACCAAATAAAAAGAAATTGTGTCCAAGTGGAAATGAAATGTTTAAAATGCAATCAAATAAAAGAAAAATCATTCGAGCAAAGGAGATTCAACATTCTTAAAAGCTTGCCTGCATTATCCAAAAAAAAAAAGTTTAAAAGATGAATTTACACACTTGCGCGACAAAATTAAAAACCACTAAAGTACACATTAACTATTGAAAAAGAGGCTTTTCACTCAGGAAATTCAAAAAATAAAATCCATGAGATACTGATCATCCAAATACTTACATCTATCTAACTAAAGCAAAAAATGCGATTAACATGATGCAATGAAAACTGTTTAGAGATCTCAAAAAATCAGCCCCTATGATTGGAAGAACTACCAGCATAACAATTGTAAGCAGATAAATAAATTATAAAGTGCCTACAGTATAAATAATATAAAAGTCCATTAGGCCAAGACATGGATACAGAAGTACTTTTTAGCCCATATACTTGTGTTTGCATATTCAATAAGATAAGATAGTTGGCGGTACCCAAAAGAGTGTCATCGCTATGACAACCGAAGAACTTTTTTTTTATTTTTTTTTAATGTTTCTAAACCAAAGCTTTGTTGTGTTTTTCCCAAAAATAACTTTTTAAAGACTAATTTTGAAAAAAGCAAGAAACAGTTGTGTGATTTTTTCATCTAGACAAATCTGCTTTTTGCTGGATATTTGTCTAACCACAAAGAAAAAAAAACCAAAAGAAAAGGTTATCCAACCAAAGCCTAAAACTATAAGAGAAAGTTCAATAAGCACTTGCATATGCAAAGCAATATATCCTAACATCATATGAGGCCCATTTTCTGGAAAAAAAAACAACAATTTTGTCCAGCAAAAAATAGCCATAATTTACATAGATCAATTAAATCACGAAGGAAATTTTTCAATTTAACAGAAAGATTAGAGCAAAACGATATCACCACATTGGTTGTTTTCCCCTATTTTTTGGCATCTCCCCAAACAAAGGCCTAAGACTACAAGCGAAAGCTCAAGAGGCACTTGCATATGCAAATTAATATATCCTGACATCATATGAGGCTCATTTTCTGAGAAAAACAATGATGTTGTCTGGCAAAATAATAGCCACAATTTGCACAGATTAATTAAATCATGTAGAATATTTTCAGAAAGATCTCTAATAGTCTTAGGCTTTTGTTTGGGGAGATGCTAGAAAACAGGGAAAAGCAACCAATATGGTGATATCTTCTTGCTCAAAAGACACTTGCAAATGCAAATCAATATATCCTAACATCATATGAGGCCCATTTTATGAGAAAAGCAACGGTTTTATCCAACAAAAAATGGTCATAATTTGCATAGATCAATTAAATCATGAAGAGAATTTTTCAATTCAACAGAAAGATTAGAGCAAGATGTCACCACATTAGTTGTTTTCGCCTGCTTCTAGCTGGCATCTCCCAAACAAAAGCCTAACATTATAAAAGAAAGCTCAAAACGCACTTGCATATGCAAATCAATACATTTTGACATCATATGAGGCCCATTTCCTGCGAAAAATCGACAGAAAAATAGCCACAATTTGCACAGATCAAATAAAACATGAAGGAAATTTTTCAACTGAACAGAAAGATCTCTTGTAGCCTTAGGCTTTTGTTTGAGGAGATGCCAGAAAACAAGGCAAAACAACCAATGTGGTGATATCTTCTTGCTCAATAGGCACTGCATATGCAAATCAACATATCCTAACATCATATGAGGCTCATTTTCTAAGAAAAATAATGAATTTGTCCAGCAAAAAAATAGTCATAATTTGCATAGTTCAATTAAATCATGAAGAGAATTTTTTAATTGAATAGAAAGATTAGAGCTAGAGCCCTTCAGACATTTGGTGTGGCAAGTACTGGGGTCATTTTCTGAGTTGAACAAGAAAAATTTCTAATTGTGACTAGGCTAAAATTTAAGCACTGAGATAGCTCATGGGTGGAAGCTCCAAGCCATCCTTTCCATTAAAGATGTCAATGAGCCATGGATGTATGAATGCAAGGGTGTGATCGTTGAAGGCGATAATTGTAATATCATTAACCTTATCCGATCTACCATGGAGAAGAAATTTTGGGAGGGCCAATCTCGACTTGACCACGAACCAGTTTCTTTTAAGAACTTCAACGAAGTGCTCCTCTGCCGCACAACCAGGAGTTGCAAGCGGGCTAATTATTTTGCGTTAGATTGGCATTGGAGAATAGTTTCTTTTTGAAGGATATAAATGAGCATAGTGTTCTTTCTTTCATGCTTACAGATGACTTTTTGTACATGATTGGTTGCATATTTGCATATATTTGTAATTATTTGATTTAGTTAATGCAAAATGCAATCTTTCAAGAAGAAATGTATCAGTAAATTAAATAATGATAAAAAAGGTGGGAAGAGGTCCTATAAAACATAATGATAGAAACAAATAAAACTAACCAGCATAATAATTTTTTATCTACTATAGATTGAAGAAAATTCATGCAAGTCAAAACTTGCAAGCACAACAAAGTATGTCTCAAAAG